ATGATTTTGACCATGGACACCAGCAAGGTCCAGTTTTTTGGATTCTAAACAAAAAAAGCAAAGAAAACCATTGACATCCAAAAAAATCAAAAAATCAATTGCAAATCCAATAATTCTGTAAACATCTTTGGATTTTTGNNATTTCTTATGCTAGTCCGTCATGAGGCTCAAACACGAACACAATTCAGTCGCATCTCGTGGCGCAGGCATCTCGTGGCGCAGTCTTGGGTATACACAGTTCGCGTATGGCCGGTGCGCCTCGTTTGAAGTTTGCCTCGNNTATGCTCCGAACCACCGATTTTGTGGCACAGTTTTGGGTGCATGTGTGAGTTTCTGAAAACCACAAAGTCATCGGTATTTACGGTGGTTTGTATGTGATTTATATATTAAAGACGGAGGTGGATCACGGGCAAAGGTGATCACATGTATATCTATGGGTGTGCGCTGTGCATTCTCGACCCCCCCGCCCTCCTCCACCGACCCCGTATGGTGTCCCCGACCGCTGCCACGTCCCGCCAGCTACTTCAAACCTGAACCCTGAAGCCGAAAATCAAGCTTTTCTACAGGGGTTGGGGAGGGCAGGGACCTCCACGACTGGGGAGGGGCTGGGGCGCAAGTACACTCAAGATCGCCAGATACACGATCCCTATACTCCGCTAAGGCTAAGGCCAAAGGGTTTCAGTTCGAAGTCTCTCGGAATGGACGAGTAGCTTGGCTCCGCCATCGCAGTCCTCGATGGCCTGGACATGGAATGCTTGGGAGAAGGAGCGAAGCCCAATGGATTTCAATAATTTCGGATTTGGGTTCGCGTGTTTTGGGGCTTGCGGGCTCTTAAAAGTGGTGGTTGACAAAACTCAGGGTGTGTTGAGCAGCGATAATCCACTTCTGACCCTGCCTTGCAAATGTCCTCCTGCGCCTGAGCCACAACGGCCTCAAAGCGCCTTCTCATCGACTCTGGTGGGTCGGAGTCCTGGCGGTTTGGGGCTGAGGGTATAGGATTTAGGGTTCAGCGCTTGCGGAAGGTTGCAACATGCAGCCTTGCGGCATGCATGCGGCTTTTGTAAGGGCTGCAGAATGGGATGACAATGTTACGTTTCGGTCTGCGTCTCTCTGACGTTGAAGGTTATGGAGCTCTCGGAGGCATGGGATTGCAAGGGTTCCGGGCCTTGACGGGCTTAGGTGGGGGCTTTGGCACTAGGGCTCGAAGATTCGGAGGGCCCCGAGCCCCGCCCGGACAGAGCAAAGACGTCTCGATGGGCTTCCTGAGGTGCTTAACAGCTTCGCAGTAGAAGATTCTATATGGGTTGAGGGAGGCCTCAACCAAGGACTAAGACTAGGAGACTGTGGTTGCGATGATTTTGGCGTTTTGTCTAGGGTTAAGGGGAACATATATATATATATATATGTCGTATCTACATACATCCTCCGTACCAATGAGGTATGATTCAACCCGAAGCCTGCTCTCCCCCAACAAAGAGGAACACATCACATGACTCGAAGCCCCCGAACTAGATCCCGCACCACCTGTAGTGAGCCCTTCGAACCCCCCCAAACACAAACAGCACATAACCCTCGAAAGAACCCTCTAAACTCTGAACCTCGAAACCCTCAAACATGAACCCTACCCTAAGCCCTATACTCTCTCCTTGCACATGGAGGTGTACTTCTCCATAACAGCGGCTGCAGACCTTACGGCCATCCTCTTGCGCATTCTCCGTCGGCCGCCGGCCAAAACCGCTGCTCCAGCAAGGGCCTCTAGGTATCTAGCTTGAAGATTTTCTGTTCTAATTGCTATGAACATGTCTTGAAAGGTACGATCCTGGGATCAAAAGAAAGACACCGAGCTCGAAGACATGTCGGAAAGATACGGCTTCTTTCGGTGAATGTCAGGCTTGGGGCGTAGGGTCGCGATAAGGCTCCGAGCCCCAACAATGTTTACGTAGGTTCAGCAGAGGATTTAAGCATGGCGGATATTTCTGTTGCAGGGAGGCATGTCGGATTAGCCTGGCTGCTTGATAGACAGAGAGAAACCAAGTCGGCTTCTGGCTCCGCTCCACTAGGGCCACTAGGGTCTATGGAACGGAAGCCTCCAAACGAGCTATAGCCTGAACTCAGAAAAAAGGGTGAACGATCAGCATGTCTGATTTTTCAACCATAGTCTCGTGACCCCAAAGCAACATCCAAAAGGCAACAGCATGTTGGTGCAAACTCCCACCAACATCCTTGCATGCTGTCATACAAATCCGTTTTGAGGCCACAAAGAAGTCTCGGAAGCCCACACAGAACTCACGTGCAGGTGCTTCACCGCAGCCCCAAACTCCAAATCCTAAACTCCGGCCCTGTTGTAGGCTTTATATTCTCCTCCAGCGCAAGACGTGAATTTCATGCGGCCACTGTCTTTGAAGTTTTGGTGCCGGGCGGCTGGGAGAGCATGAGACGGGGCGGAGAAGGACTGGGCACTCGTAGCCGTGGCCGTGACGGCCGGAGCGATCCCTGCGCGTGGGGCAGTGGACCTGAGCGATGTCAGGGTTTAGACGAAACCTTTCAGGCATTATACTAGACACAACTATAGCTGTTCTATAAGTTAGCCTATGGTGTAGTTTGTTACATTGTACATTGTACTATACTTTTACGTATCGTGTTTTGCTTTGGCACTATATTCAATTTGTTATGATATGGCATGTACATGATATTGTACTATATGATGTTATGATTTCGTACATATGTCTTTCATATGATAGCGGTTCTACAAGAAGATTTCACATTGCTTAAGCGTCTTCAGTTTGTGTTGACTGTGCCCTACTCACAGAAGAAAACTGCACGAGGGAGCTGCAAGAAGTGATGGTCCCGCGCTTCGAGAGGCAAACCCCAAAATACCGGCAGTAGAAGCGGGCAATTTGACTAATCGTCCAGACTTCTGTCTTAAGAACTTAACAAAAGGCCCTACATCCCAAAACCGTAAACCTTCGAAGCTGGGTTAAGTGGGGCCCAGTGGCTGGCTGGTAACTGACTGGCCGGGAGATGCGACGAAGGCGGTTGCACCGGCTGTGGCAGCGGCAGCCGCCACGACCTTGGTCACGAGAGATTCTCTTCAAAAGCTGGAGCCCTGCAAGGCTTTAGGGTCTAGGGCAGGGCTGAAAACCGCTTTACAGCAACCATGATAGAGCCCTCAGAGCCGCGGTAGAACCCTGGAAGTGCCCCTGCAGAACCCTTATAGTAGCCTTATAGATGCTTGAACATTCTGGGCGTTGTTTACCCAGCTTCCCCCCAAAAGAACATGCACCAATGACAATCTGCTGAGCCTGCTGCGATGACTATGCGTCTACCGACGAGAACAATGCGCCATTGAACTTTCGAAGTACTAAAAACAACAAGAGCACAATTGTAGAGCAAACGAACAATAACTATCCAGCCAAATGACCGTCCTGACAGATTTGGTATGATATGCTACACGATGCAACCAAGCTCTTTTCTACTTCATTTCCGCCAAACCTTCACCAACCATAGCCTTCCTGTTTCTTGTACGACTCACGACGCTTGTGCGTGGGGTTCAGGGCTCGTGGTTTAGGGGCGCTAACGACGACCCCATGAAGAAGAAGCAAAAGAAGAAGCAGAAGGGCGAGCACATGTGGTTGTTGGTGGTTTCAACACAAGCAACATGTCTACCCTAAGGTCGACAAGGCAAGCTATATGGTTCCTACCCTCTGTAGCCGCGTGACTTTGAAAGCGTCGACGGGCCGCTGCTGGGCAGCCATGATTTTCCTGGAGTTTCTCGCTCGGCTATAACTCCCGTGCTGCTTTGGCCGGTATGGCTGCGGTGTTCCAATCCCTGTTTGGAGCCACGGGTAGAAGAATACCAATCTGATTCGAACACAACTTTCAAGACAGATGCCATGCTAAAAAACAGATGGAAGTTATGCAGATTGAATGTTTGTATCTATCCAGATGCTACTAGTAGAGCAACTCATGGAGCATCAACACCGGAAAAATCAGGTACACCCGTATCTAGCGCACAGTGGGCAGCACTGATGCAGCCCGGGCCTATGGGTGCACCGACTTGACCTGAAAGTGGGGGACTTTACCCGTCTCTCTCGGAGCTCATCAGAGGAGGCTGCGGAGTCTTTCGGCTTGGAAGCTCTTGAAGACGGTTTCTGGTACACAGCAAGTATTTGCTTGGGGCGGCAACGATAGGCAGCATCCTGCAAACGGCGACTGCGCCACAGCAACAACAATTCCTCACAGTAAAGAGAACAAACCTTCTGTATGGAGTTAATTATACCGCGAGACACCCGCCGCATTTGCACACAGTGGAGCAATGCCTGGGCAACTCCCCTGTCGCCCTGACCGAAAACAATACCAGCTTTCTTGTGACGCACGTGGGTCAGCGCAGATGCTAAAAGCCTCAACCCTGCAGACCTCAATGGCTCGGACCGCAAGGGCCTCGCAAGTATGCCAAAATCCTTCACGCTCGATCTGCGATGCTTTTCCCAAGCCGAGATGCGCATGAGGTCCCCTGCTGTGAGGGCCAGAGATTCTGAGACCGTGCGAGTTGTGGCCTAGGAATGGATGAGGGAATGAATAAACCCGGAACAAAGCCCTAACGCCCAAATGGCCTAAGCCGAGTTTCTTCCGGGATTTTTTACAATTTTGGGTTAGCAATTTTTCAGGACTTGGGCCGAGGGGGACACCGTTTATAAAGGTCATTAGTTGTGGCTGACAGCCCTGAAACTGTAAGGGCGATAGTTACTCAGCTACGGCGGTGTGGAACTTGAGATCTAGGAAGCAGCATGTAGTCATTTAGGGTTTGGGGTCTAGAGTCTAGGGCTAGTTTGCAAAGTTCACATTGTTGGGAACACTTTTGCGGTCAAGGGACAGTCCCGACGATGCTTGCCATGGGTTGGCGGGGTGTGGGCTCTGTGGATATCGTGCACAAGAAGCCCACATCCATACTTTCTCACATTCATCCCAAGTCCTACACGCTGGTGTGAGCTTTGTGCTTCTTGTGCAGGTAAACAGGCAGAGAGAAAAAAGACGAATACATGATACATAGATGCATAGATGATAGAAAGCAAACAGGTCAGCATCCACGTGGACCGATTCCTTGGCTTCCGACTTCGGCAGCTTCCAGGATCGTGTCGGGATCTGTATCGACCGAAAGTGCCACAGCCTCAACACAGGGTTAAAGACCGCTATGCTGCTAGCTAGCTTCTCTGGCATATCAGGGGTGAAATCGAATCCTTTGAAACTTTGTTGATTCCTGACCACAGTGTCTTTAACGCCAATCTAGGGCTTAAAGGCTCAGAGGTACATAAGTCTTTCGCGACGTGCCGCTCAAGCCCTTAACCTTGAACGCGCACACCCTAGCTCATAGACTCCGCACCCATGCCCAGAGTGCATAGGAGCCGAAGGGAGCATCACTCTTTTTAGGCGGCGTGGGATTGACCCACCGGCTTATATTGATTTGGCCTTGCGCTCCCTGCATGCAGCCATTTTAGGCCCCCGGCGACGGTAGCGGCTGCATCTCCAAGTAGCTGGGCATCGCCAAGGACTCCACCCTTCCTTCCGTCGCGGATTGAGGTGTCAAGGTTTAGGGTTTCAGTTTAGGGATTGCCCAATTGGATGTAGGCACCAGCGCCTAGGGCTTTCGAGCTTTAGGGACTTTTCAGGGATTCGGCCGTAAGCTCCAAGTCTCTGTGGTCCTGGGCACTCGGCGTCTAGGAATCGGTTTCACCCTATGCTTGGCTCCAAACGGTGCTTGGGTTGCTTACTGCCACGTCCACAAACTCGAGCGGGCCGGTCAGGTTCACGAGTCAGGTATGCCCGTAAAGCTGTTAAGAGCTGAAGACGTTGGGGTCGCTAAACCCCAGCCCTAAATTCCAAGCCGTGGGGTCATAAGCATGGGTCGAAGGCGTCTAGTCTACCCCCTCAGTCGGGTTCTGGGGTCGCCCAGACTGGGGGCGCTTTGCAAGGGTTCTGGCCGATGGTGCAAGCTTGTTGGTGGACAGTTTGGCTGCGTTGGCTTTAACAAATGGGAATTTCAGATACCCTAGCAAGCCTAACGCCCGATCCTGAAACGCAGAAGCCTGCAAACCAAACCAGCCATTGAGCCCGAGGCAGTAACCCTAAATCTGAGGTCGCAACATAGGGGCCCCAGTACTTGAGGTGAGTAACAAGCATGTGCGACCACAGCGGCGTAAAGTGAATCAGAAGAGACATGCTGATCCCGAGGCCCTTGACACACATTGCTTTGACCTCCGCCTACCTTTTCGTCTGCTGAGGTTTTCGGCTATAGGACAAGCATTCAAGGTCTCGGTTTAAGATGTCGAAATCAGGATGTAGGCTTCGGGCTTGGCATTTGAGATTTGACATGACGGGCTTGGTGTGTAAGTCATGCTAGGGGCCCGACACATGGGAGAGTGGCACCAAGAGCACAGGGCTCCCCCAAACCTGACGACAGGCGAGAGATGTGTGCCTCTGACGGGACAAGGCTGTGTGCTGATTTCTGGCCATGGGACTCCTTAAAGGAGATACATTGACACATGGGACTGCTACTTGCAGATCTCCCAGGACCTCCGAACAATGAAGAAGTCGTGCAAGGATCGTCTCGTGGAAGAGGCTGTGCAGGGTCTACAGACGTTTCTGAGATCACTGACTCCGCAGTGTGCAGGGTCTTCATCAATCCCGAGCCCTACAGACCTGTAGGGCGAATGAAAAGTTTATCAGAGCGCCTGCGCCCCATCACTGCTGCTCCTCGGCTGGCAGCCCGGTAAGGCCTTGGAGCCGCAAACTTGCTGAGGCACCGGGGGCTCAGAAGGTTGAGGCTTCTACTTCAAAGACTATAATGTCTCTGAACCACAGCTGAAACAGCTAAACTTACGTAAATCCACCTTGTGCCATCATGGTATCTGAGCTTGGGGGGGAAGCCCGCAGAAATCTTTGGGAACCTACGATTTATGCAAGGTTGAAGATGCTGGGTGCACATGTTTAGGGTTTAGGGTTTAGGGTTTAGGGTAGCAGCTGTGCTCATTCGTGCAAACAGAGGCATGTGTTCATAAATCAAGAGGACATGACTAGGCAAATAAGAAGTGTGCGTATGCACTGTGAACCCCACACACACACACACACACACACCATACACAAATGCGTAGGTCGGCAAAAAACGTCACCAAAAAGGTTGCGGCGCCGTGTTTTGTGGGATTTGTGAAAAGAGGCTGTTTTTCGCAATGTGCTTAAACGTGTGGTAAAACGTGCGAACGGTTTACAAAGCTCAGATGAAAAGTGTGAGACTCTCCGAGACTGTGTGTACTTTTCTACGATTGTCGACATGTTTCCCGCACGTTGAGACACATTTTTTGGAACGGGCCAGGGAAAAGTTTGTGTTGGACCCACACGACTACAGGTTCTGCTAAACGATAGATGGTTTAGGCAGAGATGCTGCAAACAAAACTGGCAGCAGTGGTAGCACGCCAGAAATCCCGTCAGAACGGAGTGGCAGAACTGCGGTCCAAGAGGATGTTCCCAAGCCCTCCATAACAAGTACTCCAAAACCCACTACAAGCTGCAAAGAGTAGTCTCGGCAAACTAGGGGCGCCGTCACCAAAAACGTAGTCTGCGGCAAGCAGGCCGCGAGTCCAGAGCTGCTTCTCAACATTCATGGTTCAGAATCCCTGGTTACATTGGCCGATGGCACGAAGCCAAAACGGGCTGAAGCAAGCAAGAGCTATGATGTTCAGGAACTACTAACGCTGTACGAGGAACCCTTCGCCGAAGGTTCACGCAGGCCTTTCGAGCAAGAAGGCTTCTGGTGTTTAGAAACCGTTCTGGCCGCATTGTGTGGGATTACGGATTGGAGGTTTCGAAGCTTCAGGCTTCGGGCGGTGCACATACGGGACTCAGAGCTCCAGTACAAAGGTCCTCTTGGTGTGCGACTGTCTATGGCAGACCGTGGGAAGTTTGCGAAAACGGTATTATTAAGCAGGCACAGGGTCTTTTGTTTCCGGAAGCAACCCGCAACAGGCAGGGCTTGCTTGAGGGTTCGGTTTGCTGGGAGAGTTTTGCTCTTGCGTGGATGGGACCCTTCTTGGAAATGGAACTTGTAAATCCTGCGGTGCAACAACTCCGATGCCCTGCACTCCAACCAGCAACCGAAAAGACGCCTAGCTTCAGAAAGTCTTGTAACAGAAGGAACGTGATTCCGCGACCGGTAGAACCTGAGCCAGCAAGTAAGCTCGGCACCTCAACCCACAGGTTTTTATGCTGTTCACGAACGCCCCTAAACCTTCGTGCCCAAGCCTCAACCTCAACCTTAGACCGCCCTGCAGATTTTGAAAGCCTATTTTTTCAGAAGCCCTTCAATAAGCAGCAAACACAATTTAAATGGTCAGAAGACCGCCAAAAGCACGAACAACCCTCTGCCTCTCCCACTTCTTGAAGTCTGCTCATCTGAAGTTGCAAGGGTCCCAGCCTTGGCTCTTGGGGTCTTAGACGGCTGCTTGAAGGTACTATATATATTGAGTTATGTGATGATATATTGTATTCGATGCTGCGGTATTATGTTAGATTCAAATATACTACGCTATTTCATACTATATTATACATTGTATTGTCTTGTTTACACTATCCAACCATGTATTACATAACATGATACTACATTATATGGTGTTATATTATATTATATATTATGCCACATTCTATTGTGATGTATTATATATTCGGGTCTCCTGTAGCCCTGAAGGCCGCGCAGCCAGAGCGCGAAACCAAAACGGGCATACAGGACATGCTGAGTACCGGCCAAGACTGATGCAGCATCGGCTGCCAGGGTTTCATGCGGCTTTGACTGGGGCTCGAAACAGCGATTTGAATGATGAGGATTGGGTTTCGGGGTGTACTTTATTATCAGAATTTGGACAACCACCTCAACATATAAATCCCAAAATCTTGGAAGGACGACACTCCAAAACTCTAATCCCTGCGCTCCGAATAGCTCCTAATTCAGATGTTCCGGCTGTTGTGCTTGAGGGCTTGGTGCAGCTCTTGGTGGCTTCTAAGATTAAGCTGGAGCCACCGTCTGGCATCAAGCGATGCTTGAGCTCAGCTACTTGCAACCTGCAGTACAGTCCCAGAGCAACTAAATAGCTTCAAGGGTTTGTAAACTCGGCGGGAACTGCATGAATCTCCGAATAAAGAAGAAGCCCTGTAATTGACCTATAGCAGTCAATACAAACCATAATTTAATTGTTACAATGTATCTTAAGGCAGATTTCTTGCATGGGAGCTTTTTCTTCGGCACCCGGTCGATTTCGCCTGCAAGAGAGCATACGTCGGCTGATTTTTTCAGCAACGCTTGCCATACTCGAGGCTTTGGCAGTTGTAGCTTGAAAAGATTTGGTCAATGCTCACAAGTCCTAATGCACGTGGTTATACAAACCACGGTAGACTCGTAATACTGTGAATCAGAGTATGGGAACTCATGTGTAAGAAATGCTACAAGTAGCAGTGCTTGTGCGCCTTATTCACCTCCCGCTCTAAACGTACTGACAGGCGTGACAGCAACGGTAACAGGGACAACTGAAAGAGAAGAGCTGTATTTGCAATGCTCCCCCTTCTGGAGAGGAGACTTCGATTCTCCTTACTGCAGAGTGTAAAGATCCGCATGCCTGGGTGTGCCCCGAGGAAGTGAACACCACTTCATGATAAGCTGTGAAACACGAGAGTTTCTCAAAGCTGCGGGACTTCAGTACCGCGGCCAAAACAGGAACCACAATTACTATAACTCTGAGGCACCGAGCTGCTGCCAAAAAGAGGGGCACTGCATTCGAGAAACTCAGACGTGACATGTCAGTGTCTGAAGCCAACTCTTCCACGCTTCCTTGATTCGTCTGAAGAGTTCATTGATGGTGAGTCTGCTGTAACTCTTGGAGCTAATACCAGCGCTCGGTGTAGCAAGCTGAAGTCGTACATCTGAAATCTTGGATGGCAGCAAAAGACTAAGTCAGCGACCATGTGAGCCCTGAGCAATTATGGTTTCTTCGAGCCGTACTATTTACTGTAGATCCCGGCTGTGGCATTTTAAACTAAGTTCCAATAACAAGAGCGCTGAAAGTTCGCATTTAGGGCTTCCTAGTCCTGAAACTTATAGTCTCAGTCCTTACAGCCCAAACCGCTCCCAGCCCTGAGATTCCTAGATTCCCAAGTAACAGGTTTAGGGTTTAGGGGTCACTTCAGGGTTTGCTTTAGGGGCTTCTTCCCTGAAGCACGACAAAGAAGACCTCAGAAACTGCTGCACTCCGGGTTGTGCCGTGGATGTTGTGCATGGCAGGCTTCCGATCGTCACTCGGGAGCTATACATTGCCCAAAATGCTGTGAGTCGGATTGTCAATAGTCAACATGCTCTATACTCAGAGTCTGAACACATCCCCTTGTACTCCCAAACTGTGAAAAAGGGGCAGAGAGAGTAAAGCGTGTGAGGGTTGCAAAGAGGACCCTCAACCTAAACCTAAACCATCTCAGACAAGTTTCTGACCACATCTACAGTGACAGCAACGAGCTGCGATGATAGCGCTACGAAAACTTTCGCAAAGCCAATCACACCTTCGAAAACAACACAGCATCACCATCATCGTTATTCATTTGCATTATCGTCCTCTTCTTCACCGTCATCAGGAGCAATCATCGACAATCTCCTTCCTCACATCATTTTCACCATGTCATCATTATCATCATCAGCGGTCTGAACCTTCCCAACCTCCTCCTCCTCGTCCTCCTCACAAATGTTGTCGTCCATATGGTCGTCATCCTCATCGAACCTATCATGGAAGCCACTTTCTCATGACTATCACAGTCACGCTGCCGCAAGGACTTCCTGCTGCTCTGACTGCATGTTTGCAACGTTGATGATGACATTCGTGACGACGATGTCATGATGGACATTCTGAGTGTGTAGTTGAATACTGTTAATAGCTGTTGTTAGTTCTTCTAGAAAAAATTAGTTCGGCAGCCTGCCATCCCGGAACGGCCTGCGGCCAGAGCTCTTTGAGCTTCAACACTTGATGGCCCTTTGGGGCACTGAACGATGCCAGGCTCAACTGCCGAATATCTCTGTCCGGGCTAGAGCTCATGCAGGGGTTGGGATGATTGAAGCTAGGCACGAGGCACCGGTGAAGAGTTCGGCGTGATTGGGAGCTGAATCTCCAGGCAGGGTGGCAGTTCTGTGCAACTGAGCTTCCTGGATTGTGGGGATGTGAGGTTGAGAAGTTCAGGGTGCCCAGGGGTTGAAGTCCTAAAGGTCTGAGGTAGGTCTGGGGTTTAAGGGCATGTTGGGCAGAGGGAATGCTTGCGCCGTAGCGGATGTGGGATTTAGAGGCGTAGTGTCCGAAGCTTCGGCTTGTTGCAGTTTCGGGTTTGGGTCCAAATTCGAGGTCTTAAGGCTCCAGGGACAAACAGAGTTTTGCAGTCGAGCCCGCTGATCTGGCAGCCCAAGAGAATTCAAGGCTCTTTCCCGGGACAAATATGCCCCTGAAGCTTGCACTCCATAAAGTAGCTTAACTCTCCACCAGGATGCAGACTTGAGTTTGGGAGTCTGGCTTGTGGTTGCAAGTGTAGCCAGTGTCAACGCCAGCGCTTGTTGAGCTAAACCGAAAATGTCCTTGAGCCCACGGATCCTTCAAGTTCTCAAAGATAGGATGAAGAAACCCTAGGCTCCGAAGGCCTAAAAGCCTTAAAGCCTTGAACACCTGCTGAATCGCAAAACCGGATAGCTTGGGAAAGTTCCCTTTCAAAGAAGCTGTCACGTTGTGGCTTGAAGCAGATCACTTACCTCAGCGAAGGCAACGTCACTGTGCACTTACATGGCGAAGTACACATCCAAAGTAGGCATACCCATGTATACATCTATGTATACATACAGACATACAGACATACAGACAGACAGACAGACAGCCAGCCAGCCAGCCAGCCAGCCACCCAGCCAGCCAGCCAGCCAGGCAGACAGACAAACAGACAGACAGACAGACAGACAGACAGACAGACAGACAGACAGACAGACACACACACACACATACATACATAAACACTATATACAATATCAAAGTATGTATATTGCGCGTATATATCTTTTATACACGTGGTCCCTCCCGCAAGATCTGTACTTGCCCTTCTTCGATTCGAACCAGTACGCGTATGGTCTCAGAGTTGAGAACTAAAGTGTATCTGTGCATATACATATACGTATACATACACATACATACATACATACATACATACATACATACATACATACATACGTACATACATAGATGCATGCACAAATAAACAAGACACGCAGACCATGAAACACAGTCGGAATCAGCATATACACGTTTTACGCACATCGCACGAGACTAGCTACAGATGTAAGCTGGATAGACATCCATCTATCGATGAGTATGTGACACAGGTAGCGTGGCGTGTCTCAATTGGAGAACTTCCTGTTGGTCGAAGATTCAAAGCATTGCTGAAAGGATTTGCACTCAATGATAAAGCCCTAAATCTCTGAGGTCTCGCAGTTGGTCTCTTGTTCTGGGCCTCCGGCGGATCTTGGCCGTTGAGGGAGGCCTGGCTGACGACCGCCGATATGGCTCCTGGCTGGGCTCTTGTTTGGCCGCATTTAGGACTTAGGACCCAACTTAGGACTTAATTAGCCATTCGGGCCTTCAGGCTGTCGGGCGTATTGACTTCAGGTCTGAGGGTTTTGGATCCAGGCTGCTCGAGCACGGAGGCTAATCAAGGCTTGAACCTTTTCCAGTAAGGGATGCAACTACAGGGTTCAGGGATGAGGGTTTCCGATTCGGGGTGTCCGGGGCTCGTGCTTGAAATCAGGAGCAGATGCACAAGCTCGCCTGAAACTAAAGCGCGGGTCTCGGGCTCAGGCTTTTGAGGGGAGGGCTAAGAGCAACAAAACTGCTCAGCTTGCCTCGGCCCAAGGAAAGCACTGCAATCTCAAGCCTCAAGCTTTCCACATGCACCATCCCTTGCTCCAAGCGCGATGCTGAGCAACACGACGTTAGCATTACGGCCGTACGACATCATGTCACCAAAACGATGCTTAACACTTGAATAATGATATCCCCGAACAATCCCTACAGCAATACCCACCCCTCCTTCCGGATAAGGAGAACCTTCACCAGAACATGCCGCGCCTCCCATCGGCTAGTACAAGGAGCCTGGCAAGCAGGCGCAAACTGCAGCGAGGTCCGCTAAACCTCCCTCCGAGCCTGCACAACCACCCATTAGATCCAGAATCTTGAAGCCTGAGCACCAACATATTCATCCTTAGGGTGGCTGCCTTCGTCGTACCAACGTCTCCGTCCTCCTGCATATATCATGGCAAGCCCAAGATTGTCGCACGTTTCCCCCTGACTAGTCCTCGAACCGCATCGCATCTTCCTTAGCATCACGTCGTTTGCGTATCCACCGCTAAACCGCGCT